GCTTCGTTGTGGAACGTGCTCCGTGGCATCTCCTGGAACATCCTGAGCAACATCTGCAACAGTCTCTGCAACAAGGCTATTACAAAACCCTCCGCAGGACTCCCTCCACCGTCACCGGTGGCAGCGTTCGGAAGTGGACATAGTAGACCACTCGGAGCTTAGAAATAAGGTGCTCTTACCAATGGGCATGTGGCTGCTCCTTGCCCACATGCAATTAAGCATTATCGTTACATAGCATGGTACATGGATGTTGTACGCACCAAAAGTGCCTACAGAGGTTTCATGCCGTCTAATGCGATATTTACATGGTGGCCTGTTTCAACGCTGAAACTCGTCATCGAGGCTTTCAGTTGCTTGCGTCACAGTCCTTTCAACGACGCGTGTTGATCAGTTGATTTAGCCAACGAAGGTCCGGTAAGGATATCGCGGCCTGAAGAAAGAGGGAAGTGCTATTGCGTATCCCTTGTGTCGAGGGTGAGGGATACATACGAGCATCAACGGTTGCTGTGATGGGTGTGACTACAGATCAGTCGAACCCCCTACCATTCTAAAAACCCGCATTCTATTATCAAATGCCTTGTTACTTGATGGACACTCAGCTAGGTACGTAAATGGTATCTGGCGCTTGAATACCAGCCTCGGAAGGACAGAACTAGAGTGTGTGATCGACTTGTCCACTCCCTTGATGCAGCCTAGTCGGCGCAGCTGGCTGGCATGAGTCTGAAACAACGGCAGATCGCAGATCGGCTGGCAGCTCGCACGCTTAGAGTACTAAAAGGGATGTGCACACTGCACACAGTGGCTGTTTCTTAGGGTGAGAAAGATAGATCCCTGGCTTGACGAAATTGCCGCCGTGATTATCCACAAGATAAAAAGCTTGTGTGGGAGCAGCGCAATTCGCCCTCCAACAATACCACTGGAGCCCGTACGCAAGGCCTGCTAGCCGTGATGATCCCCTCCAGGATATGCCCTAGTCAAGAGGGAGAGAAGAGACGAGGACGAGGAAAAACTGTACGCTCTCACGGTGCATCCAGTCAATGCCACAGCTACGTATTGAATGAATACCAACCTTGCCAGACTACCTAAGAATAGTAGTCAACCAAGTCCACAATTATGAGCGACTGTCTCTGAGGGTGACGAAAGACGCCTTCATCAAGTGGAAAGAACTGACTGCACTTGGGAAAGCCTGTGCTGTATACGCCAGACGCTATGGTCGAACCGGCCATATCATCAATCATAACGGAACTCGGATATAGATACATCTGCACTTGCATACATGAATATCGCAGGTATAAGAACCTGCTTGGCCCCGGCAGTCCACCATCTCAGCGCCAGATCTGACCCCAAGTGCTGGTTGCGTGCCAAGCTTCTTGACAAGCTCTGCGGAACGTAGCGCATCTGCCCGCGACATGATGGCACGCGGCGTGGTAGATTGCTTGGCATGTCTGTCTCGACCAGGGTATGGGGTTCTCAGCGTAAAGACCTCCCTCTCTCACTGCCATCAGTGCCTATCTTAACTTGCATGAGGAGGTGTGGTGGGCTATCAAGCTATGTTTCTGTGGGCGGGAGGGTCTGGTGCGGCTGGGGGCTAGACCCAATCACGAACTTGGACTCACCCCCCTTTCCTCGAATGTGTTCGTGTTTAGACAACTGCATTCTCATCGTTATACGAGCAAGGTGAGGTGAGCCTCGGGCATAGCTGGCGCTGTAGGTACCAACCCCAAATAGACACACTATGGATGATGCGTATATACCCCGTTTAATCCCATTTACACCGTTTTACTTTCGTCACACGGCCCCAGCCTCTCGCACCAGACCAGGCCAGATGGCAACAAGCAACAGACCTGGGAAAAAAGGGAACGGGAAAGCAGGGTGTGTGCCACATATTCAACGTGGGCGATGTGATTCGCCAGCAGGTCTGGTATCGCCAGTCGAGCCCACTCCTTGTGAAGGAGGAACCACTGGCCAGGCTGCTCTGGATCTATTGATGGATGGGCAGGCTGGCTGCTCCCCACTGTCTCCAGGGGGTCAAGGGCACCACCGCAGGTTGCTTTCAATGATTCAACCCCTGAGATCCGTGAGTGGCGTCCGGCCTGGCAGGGGACCCGTGCAGAGAATGCCGCCTTTACGGTGTACTCCACCGCTACCTGCCTTGCCTTGGTACTATCTGCAAACGTACAGCCAATAGTAGGTATCCTGCATGTACCCCCCATAGGATATCCCCTAATCTGGCCTTTTCCCCCTACGTTGCCCACTAACTGACAATTTCCATTCTTCCCAGGGGCCAGCTTTAATTGCCTCCTTGCCTCTCCCGTCCGTCAACCAGACCGATTTGCTCTTTTTCTCTTCTTTTCTCTCTTCTTCAAGAAGAGTTCTCCCCAAGGCCTCTCTGTCTTCGTGTTTTCATCACTTCTCCCGCTCTTGTGTGTCTCAAGCCTGTCTTGGTCGCAAGCAGCCTTCTTTTTCTTCTAGCCCCTTACCTGGCCAAAGCTAAACGGCTCCCCGCCAATTGCATATTCGCGCCCCTCCTTCTTTTACCCCCTTGACTCTCGTTCCAGGACTCTTGGCTGTCCGTCCGCTCGTTTGCGCGTCACCCTAAAATCTGTCTCCAGCGAACCGTTGATCTCACCACGCTCAACCTCGCTCTTTGTTCTTTCCATCGGCATCGAATTTGTACACCCGAATCTTGTAAATCACAACTAATTCATCATGTCCGGCGAAGAGAAGAGTCGCGTCTCTGGCGAGACCTCCCGCTCTGGGAACTCGCCCGTTCTTCCTACCGTCAACCCTCAAGCTGAGAAGGGCCAGCATCAGGCTGGCTTCTCCGTCCACCCAGCTTTCTATGTCGTGTAAGTTCACCAATCAGTCACGCAAGACTGCGTCCATCTGCTTGGAATCTCTGGGATTGACCGTCTTTTTTATAGTGTCTGGATTTGTTGCAGCTCCTCCGTTATCCTGTTCAACAAATGGCTGCTCGACACCCTCAACTTCCGTACGTGCAAACACCTTCAATATCATCCACGATCTCTCGTTCCTCGACTAACCGGATGCTAGGCTACCCTGTCATCCTCACCACGTACCATCAGGTCTTCGCCACTGTCATGACCCAGGCCATGGCTCGCTTTACCACGCTCCTTGATGGTCGTAAGAATGTCAAGATGACCGGCCGCGTATACCTCCGAGCTGTTGTTCCTATCGGTCTCTTCTTCAGTCTGAGCTTGATTTGCGGCAACTTGACATACTTGTACCTGTCCGTCGCTTTCATTCAGATGCTCAAGGCCACCACCCCCGTTGCCGTGTTGATTTCTGGCTGGTGCCTTGGTGTCACAAAGCCAAACCTCAGGCAGTTCCTCAATGTCTCTGCCATTGTCGTCGGTGTCATCATCGCCTCCTTCGGCGAGATTCACTTCGTTCTCGTCGGTGTTCTGTACCAGATTGCTGGTGTCATTTTCGAGGCCCTCCGTCTTACCATGGTTCAGAGACTTCTCAGCTCTGCCGATTTCAAGATGGACCCCCTCGTTTCTGTGTACTATTTCGCCCCTGTCTGTGCCCTGATGAACGGACTTGTTGCCCTCATCTGGGAAGTCCCCAAGGTCACCATGGACGAGGTTTACCACGTTGGTCTTTTCACTTTCTTCCTCAACGGCTGCTGCGCCTTCATGCTTAATGTCTCCGTCGTTCTTCTGGTAAGCACTTGCCCCCCTTGAGTAACAGTCATATTCCAGACGGTTGCTAACTGTCCAATGTAGATCGGCAAGACCTCCGCTGTCGTCCTCACCCTCTGCGGTGTCCTGAAGGATATTCTCCTGGTCATTGCCTCCATGATGATCTGGGGAACCCAAGTCACCGCTCTCCAGTTCTTCGGTTACTCCATTGCTCTGGGTGGCATGGTCTACTACAAGCTTGGCTTTGAGCAGCTCAAGGGTTACATTGGTGAGGGCAACCGCCAGTGGGCCGAGTTCGGTGCTCGCAAGCCTGTTCTCCGCAAGCTTACGATCATCATCGCATCTGCCTTTGTTCTGTTCACCCTCTTTGGTGGATTGGCACCTACCTACGCTCCTGAGTATGACCCACGCAAGCTTAGCCTTAGCAACAACCCCTGGGCCAAGCCCGGAGTGAAGAACTAGATACCTTCATGCCTGCTTGGCATAGTGGTGAAATGAATTGCCCACGCCAACTTACCCGCGGAAGGCGAGGAAGGCAATCATTTCCCGTCATGGCGTTGGGCCGGTATGAGGTCAATTTCAGTTTGTGGCAGATGATTTATTCTATCTGATCATTTTGTGGACTGGAAATGTGTTCAAGTAAATATTTCCATTTGCATGGGAAACCTTTCTTAATTTGGAGACTTTGCTTTATCTTGGCAGATGGTGGGATTTCATTTATTTTTTCGAGGGATTTTTAACGAGTGTATAGCTATAGAGCTGGGCGCAGAGCGCAAAGTCGAGGTCGTCTGACCTGCATTATGAAGGGTCTAATCCGTTTTACTTAGACGGCGTTAAACTCCATCTGTTATAGAAATGTAGACATGAAAAGAAAACTCATTAAACATATCATTTGCCTCTCATAACCTGTCTGCGTGTCTATCGTGTCTGGGCCAGGTATTTACTTTTGCATCTTGCCATGCCGTTACGCCCTAACCAAGACTTCATCTTCAATTTCTACATGGTTTTTTTCTACGTGTTCTGGATTCAGTGTGGAAGTGTGTCAAGGCAATTTTTTTTTCTATTACCAATGGGTAAACTTTGCACTTTGACATTCAGCCGTAGGGCGAGAAAAGCCCGGGCGCTGGGCTGGGGGAAATTTTGTCCTTCTCAGGTCCTCAATCAATTCGAAGAACCCTTTTACCGCGCCATGTCATTCAACACGAGTCACCGAGAAACCAATTGTAATTCAACTGAACATCATGTTGAGTCCGTAAAACCAGGGATCCATATGTGACATTCAATGCTCTATACATCCCACAAACTCCCTAACCGTGATGGACGAAACCCAACTTTTTAGAAACCTGTCGCCAGAAATGTTAGCTTTACCCCGTTCTTCTTCCGTGGCAGCGCCGATAGGAGAGTACTCACGCAGAGGGGTGAAGAACCAGCGGTTCTTGCCGCTAGTGTATCGGTCCTCCAGAACCTTCTTGACTGTCTTCTTGGCATCCTCACGCTGGGTGACCTCCTTGAAGGTGTCGCCGGTGATGGTGCCCTTGAGACCCTCGAGCTCGAGAGTGTAGCGGGTGGGCATGAGGTGGTTGTAGTTGATCACCTTGATGAAGGGCTTGATCTTGGAGCGCTTCTCCTGTCGGCTCTTGGACATGCGGCGGGTGATCTTTGAGGGGGAGCGCTCGATGCCGGCGACGACAGCGTGGCCGAAGGGGTGAGGCTTGTTGCCGTTGTCAACAGGCTGGATAATGACAACCTAGAGAGGGAGACTTGGTCAGTAACTGCTTCGCCAAATCTTCATATCAACCCATCCCTCGATCCCACCACTACCCCCCAAAATCCCACACACAAAACTTTCGCTAGGCACGAGGGGGGGATGCGGCGACGATTGGGGTGGTTTGGAGGCATTCGTACCTTCTTTCCGGCGTATCTGCCGCGGGTGATGATGGCGACTCGGCCGACCTTGAGAAACTTCATCTTGCCCTGGCTGTGTGTGGTCGCGATTGATCTGGGAAGAAAAGCGTCGTCTTGAACCGTGAGCCGGATTTTGGTGTAAATTTCGGGGTTGTGGGCTTTGCAAATTGGGGCAAGCGAATTGCAGGTGGAATGTCACGTGATTATATTTCCGCCCTCGTTTGTGTTGTGCGGTGTGCGTTGCTGATGATGGGCGGTCCGTGCGCGCCGGTCTGGACTATCGACCATGGTCTAGCTCGGAAATATGGTAAACGCGCCTAGCCGAAGGAGACGAAGGCCGTGGCTTCACTTCTTGTGATTCAGGGAACAAAGCTGTGTCACAGTTCATCATTCTACTCGTACATTCGCAGTCATGCCGGCTCCAGCGTACATCATCTCGAGGGTAGCGGACCCTATCTTCGCTGTCTTCATTGGGGTATCGGCTGCTGTGACGCGGATCAATCGCGAGGAAAAGGCCAAGGGGAAAACGACGAATGAGACCATCCAGGCCGGCCTTCGGTAGGTTCCAGCAAAGGAAGAATGCATACATCATTCAATGGGTTTCTGACACGCCATTATCTAGACGGGTTGGGCTCGCTGCAGAGAAATCTACATCATAAAGACCATAGTATTACAACCAATCACACAGCACCTCATCAACATGTTGTGAATTGCGCTGGGTCGTCAAAGATTATATTTTCTCTCTATTACAAGACTCATTGTTCTTTATTCGCCAAATGATGGACCGTACTCCTTCTTCATCGCTTCGCGCACAATCTGCCCACAGAGCTTTGCCGTGGGGTTGACACTCACGGCCAATCCTTTCGCAATCTGGTTACCATATCTCCCGCCAAGCGCCAGGTCTCGTGATGCAGCCTCTTCAAAATTTATCTTCTTCCAGTGGGCCTCTCTCCGATTCTCATCGATGTCCAAAGATCGGAATGGCAATAACTTAGCAGTCTTCAAGTAGATGGCTGCTCTCTGAGTGTGTGCCATAGATAACGTCCGTGCCGCTTGTGGTGATAGTGGCGTTGACAGAGATGATGGTGAGAGGAGGAGGATGGACTGCTCGAGGTCGGCCAAGGCGCTTGCAGAAGCTGTGCGTTTCTCGCCTCCATCTGGTTGCTCAACCAGCGGCATCGGCATACCGGTAATCTCGGACATCAGCATTGCATCTCCATAGAGCCGCCGGACGACCTGCGCTCGGTTATTTCTGGCACTAGCGTAGTCGGGATATTCAGATATTAAATTGTCCAGTTCAGAAGCACAATCTTTATAGCCTTGGATTGCAGTTTCGGTTCCATTCTCAACCATCGACTGGCTCAACTGAATTTCAAGCTTCTGGAGAGATTGGATGATTTGGCGTTCCTTCTCTACTACTCGGTCGTAGACTGTGGAATCAATGATATGAGGATCCCGTGGTAGAGTGTCATCGATGATGATGCCCGCAGTTGGGTTTGACTCTGGATCTTTGATTTTCTCAAGCACGTTGATATCGTGCCGGCTCAGTTCGATAGCAGTCATTGTGGCTCGGATAATGTTTATTGCCTGGTAGGTTCCAGAACAGGAGAAATTTGCGTTCAAAGAGAGCTTCTCAAAAGTTCACTACAAGCGTTTGGTATATCCAGAGGTGGTTGAGCATGGGGATCTCGGGAAGTGTGGCTTTTAGTATACCTCCCCCATACTACCTCCTCGCCTGGCACTGCTTCGGCATACCAACAAAGCGGCGGAACAACGCCAGCGAAAAGAGTCAATACAACCCAGCCCCAGAGCAAGCGGCACAGAGATTAGCCCACATCAAATCGATATGATTCCCAGGGCGATCGATCAGATGCGGTCGCGTGCCGTGATGCTGACCAATGAGCTACGAGGCAGAGGCCGGGCCACTCTCGGCTTGCGACGGTTAGCACCGCCACGGTAGCTTTCCGCATACCACCCCCTTCATAAATAGCCTTCCGCTCGGGTGTTGAGGGTTTCCAATCTGACCCTGTCCCTCGTCATAGGGCCGCCTGATTTTATCGCCTTTGGTCTGGTTGGTCAGATGCGGCTCAGGAATGGACGGCCCACGTCCGTGGACAAACAAGTACTGCAACACAACATAGAGCTCAATCCCACCACCAAGTGGAAGCAGGAACAAAGGAGAAGGCTGACACAATGCGGTGTAAGCTGATTTGATATGCTCTATTTGTCCAATTCGATTGAGATCCTAGAAAGGCTTCTCTCGGAGCAATCAGCGGCATGATCCAGCTCCAGGCCTGGGGCATGTGGATGGACAGCTCGTCGATCTGGCCTATGCCTTCAAGCAAGGCATGCCGCCACTCCGCCGTTTCCGCACCGTGAGTAGCCGTGATGCAGCTGGCCGAGCCCTCTTGGGCGGGCGGCGGCATTAGTCAAACATCAAACAATGCTTACTACACCTTACTACACCTTACAAACTAGGCTCAGTGCTATCACGGCCACGGGATCAGGACAACGGTGCGGACCTATTCCGGGGAGCGTTATGCCGCCCCGGTACCTTTCATTTCCATGATCCAGGCGTATCACCCCGCAAGCGCCCTGGTCTGAGAGATCCTACGTCCGTAGATTGAAATGTATATACATGGCCTCAGATCTCGTCCATTCCGCTCTGAGATGGACAATCTCTTCAATCAGATCACCTCGATTACTCATAACTCCATTCTTCTGTCATTCACCAAACAACATAGTGTTAGTGATAACATACCATATCTGCCTGCCTTGAAATCCCCTTGCCACTCTCATCCCTCTCCAAATAATCAGAAATGGCACCCTCGGCCATCACTCACTCACCCCCTACTCGGGCTGTGAACCCTTCAACCACAACTGACAGCACTTTTGCCGTTCAGCCACCAGCCAACTTTGTCGGATATGACCATATCACTTGGTGGGTAGGAAACGCTAAGCAAGCTGCTTCATATTACACAACCCTCTTCGACTTTAAGCACATTGCCTACCGTGGCCTGGAGACTGGCAGCCGCTACTTTGCTTCATATGTCATCGCCAACGATGAGGTCCGCTTCGTCTTCACATCCCCCGTCCGCTCAGCGGAGCATCTTCCCGAAGACGAGCCCATCTCAGATGCCGACAGGAAGCTGTTGAAGGAGATGCATGCTCACTTGGAAAGACACGGTGATGCTGTCAAGGATGTGGCCTTTGAAGTAGAAAATGTCGAGGCCGTCTATCACAAGGCCGTTGAGCAGGGCGCCAATGCGGTCGAAGCTCCCCGTACCCTGAAAGACCCAGAACACGGCTCTGTCACCCTCGCGTCGATCTGCACGTACGGTGACACCACACATACTCTCATCAACCGCAGCTCATACACCGGGCCCTTCCTCCCCGGGTTCCGTGAGGGCAAGAAGTCCACCGCCGCCGTCTCACTACCAAAGGTCCCCCTCGCACGCATTGATCACTGCGTGGGCAACCAGTCATGGCACGAGATGGTGTCGGCCTGCGCCTTCTACGAGCAGTGCCTCTCCTTCCACCGCTTCTGGTCGGTCGACGACTCCCAGATCAGCACCGAGTTCTCCGCCCTCAACTCCATCGTCATGGCCTCGCCCAACAACCTCGTCAAGATGCCCATCAACGAGCCCGCCCCGGGCAAGAAGAAGTCCCAGATCGAGGAGTACGTCACCTTCAACTCGGGCCCCGGCGTCCAGCACATCGCCCTCCTCACCAAGGACATCATCACCTCCGTGTCCGCCCTGCGCGCCCGCGGCGTCGAGTTCATCAACGTCCCGCCCTCGTACTACGACACCATGCGCCAGCGCCTCAAGACCGAGAAGCGCAACTGGGAGCTCATGGAGGACTTCGACACCATCCAGAGCCTCAACATCCTCATCGACTACGACGAGGGCGGCTACCTGCTCCAGCTCTTCACCAAGCCCCTCATGGACCGCCCCACCGTCTTCATCGAGATCATCCAGCGCAACGAGTTCGAGGGCTTCGGCGCCGGCAACTTCAAGAGCCTGTTCGAGGCCATTGAGCGTGAACAGGCTGAGCGCGGGAACCTGTAAAGCGCCATTAGGGGTATTCATGACAGAACAAAATAAAATTATTTCATAGTTAGTTAAGAAGATGTGTGTCGAGGGGGTTGTTCGTCACCTGGAAAGTATATTCCCACCAAGCAGTGGAAGATTATGAGATATGGACACATTTGGCAGGCATAGTTAGATTGCATGCAGGATTTCACAAATACAAAACTTATTCACTTCCAACACGGTAGTTTTCTTATTCAAACCATTGATCCAACTCCACATCCATGCTTTGCTCTCCTCGATCTGGCCTTGCCAGTATATATTATACAAACAGTTTTTGCTGTTTCGTCGATCCAACACACCCGAGATAATTTTGTTACTCGCCAGTCCATCGGCATGTGATATTCGTAAATTCGTCAGGAACGCTCTTCTTCCCGGTTTAATCCTTCAAGCGCTCTAATTCCAAGGAAAGGGGGAACCAGAAAGGAAGAAAAAGCAAGGGTAAAGCGATAAAAAAGCAAAAGACACCAAACAAAAATCGGCCCCAGAATGGGCCAATGTATTCGTAGCTGTACGCAGAAACAAAGGCTGGTCTAGCCAATTAGGAGAGCCACTTCCCTGTTTCTTTTTTGTTTTCGATACATGAAAGGAGATGAGCCTAGCCATCTGCCATGACCGTGTCTCCATGGGCGGCCGTGCCATTCCCATTCGTCACTGACCTTTGGGGCTGCCTGTGCACATTGCTCTGGCATCCGGGGCAGTTGTGGACCACCTCGTGGGCGTAGACATCGCAATCGATGCAGAAGTGGTTCTTGCAGACCTGGCACTCGTATCGGCCACTCTCACTGACACCTTTGTGCTTCCCCGACTGGGCTTCTCCAGCGCCAGCGGCAGTATTCCTACCATCAGGCTGTGCAGAAGCCTTGGGTTCCTGGAAAGGGCACATGCAGGAGAAACACGCGGTTGATGCGGCAGCGTCAGCCCAGGACACCTCCACCCAGTTCCGGAGCGGGAAGAGGTGGTGGTAGCTGCGAGCGAGATGGGTCGACAGGATAAGGGTGAGGCCACAGGAAGGGCACTCGGTGGGGAGACGGCAGACACGAGCGCCGCAGCGGGTGCAGGCGTACCCTTCACGGTAGGGCTTGCTGTGGCACGCGCAGTAGCTTATACTGCCGCTCGGGGCCAGAGTCCGTGAGGGGAAGCCCATCATGAGCAGGCTGGCGACGTTCTGCTCGGCGGTACGTGTGACGGGAGGCGTGGTGGCGGCGAGGAAGAGCTCGCGGAAGTGGACCTCGTCCATGGCGATGTTGTACTGGGACTCATCACCAGCGTTTGTTCGGGAGCAGAGCTCTGCACAGACGGCGAGATGCGCAGAAAGGCCGACAATCGATACTCGAATGCGGTCGGCAATTAGATTACCTATGGTCTCATGAATGTCACCGGGATCACTGGAGAGTAATGCTCCGTAGATGATAAGGACCTCCCGAGTTCCATGTGACGGTGCATGACTGGGAAACCCAACGAGTTAGCACCACGATTTCACGGCAACCAACTGTGCATGAATTCATGTGAAAGTGGCAACCGAACACCACCGTCACTTGAACGAGGAAGACAACTCACAACAAAGCACCACGGCACATTTCCAACGCATTCTGCAGACTTGGGTTGCCTTGAGGATCTTGACTCGGGAGGTCTTTCAACTTCTCCAGATGTTCAGCGGGATTCCCGCTCAAGTCGCTGATCCTAACAGCCACGCCGTCCCGCATCCCCACGATCCCCAGCTGCGAAATAGGGTTCTGCTCGAAGAACTCCTTGACGAAGGCGGCCGTGTAGTTGATCGTGAGCCGAAACCGCGTCGGCAGCAGGTCCTTCTCGGCCATGGCAAAGGACATGTCCAGCACGACAATCAGGTGGCGGATGATGCCTCGCTGCAGCGGCGTCGTGTCCCTCAGCAGCTTCCTGCGCTTCTCCGCCTCCAGCGCCGTCATGTTCAGCATCCCGTCCTCCTCCTCGGGGAGGTCAGTCTCCCACGTGCGCTTCGACTTCTCCCATGCCTGCGCGCCGTTCCTATCGCCCTTCCGCCGGCCCTTGGAGCGCGATCCGTTACCGCTGCGGGCCCCCGATCCGTTCGCGTCGTTGCCGTCGTCGGAGACGTTGTGGTCGTGGAGATCGTCGTCCGACATGTCGTCCGCGACGAACTCACCGTCCGAGTCCGCCATGGCGAAAGAGGTCGTACGGCAGGTCCGTTAAAAGAGCGAGGTGGGAGCTTCGCGGAGGAAGGAGTGAGAAAACTTGACGAGAAATTATGTCCCGGTAGATGCACCGCGGAAGTGGGACAATGGGGAGCCGGCCAGATGGTGAGCTTGAAAGAAGGTGATTGTGCAGGGAAAAGCGAACAAGGCTGCCTGTTTGCTTCTGACGTTCACGCAGCCTCGTGCTTGTTTCCCCACAGCGGATTTAGTAGCTGAAGCCAATGAGAGCAGCTCTAAAGGGCAACCCAGATAGCCCAAATTTCTGGGCCACATCCCGGGTGCATAATTGATCGGCATTCTATCTTGAGATAAAGATGTCTGAATACTTAACATTCCTTCTTTCTTTTTCGCAGATACGACTTTTGGTTGCCTAATTGGGCCAGTATTTCTCTCCACTACGTACCTACAACCAAGGCGTAGGTAACCCCGGCATGACATTCACAAGAGTGATTCACCATCAGATCAAACTATATATACCGTATTTTCACTATTCATTTCAAAAAAGATCTTGGCAAAAGCTGCGGTCATTATCTTGATCTTTAAAGTCGGCCATCCGAAGGCTCAATCTCTGTCTAGGATCCCCCAAATTTTCAATCACTCTTATCCATTACATTATACGATCGAATCTCAATGGCCCAGGTAGCCAATATCCAGGCGTGAGCGCTATCTAACCAAATTAACCGTCTCACCCAGGCCGTCGGATCTATAATGCCCATTACAAACTAGAAATGCGTCAAAGAATACTGCTTCTCTGTGACTCTCTTGTCGAAGATCTTGTCAGATACAAATGGAAGCTGCGGCGCCAACATACCGATCTCGGAATGTCCAGAGAATTGCACCCCTTATTTCAAACTGCCCCAAAATATCCAGATCATGATGACCGAGAGCAAGGTAAAGAAGGTCTGGAACAGGGCCCCGTCGACTTTCCCGCCTGTCCCGTCGCAGATATACCCGCTCGCGATGTAGTTGAAGACCTGGCCGATCGCAAAGAGAGCGGCGGCAATTGACAAGTACAGCATCGGGCGGATCTCGCCGAGAACACGTATCACCAAGATTCCCTCCAATACGTAGAAGACAACAAGGAAGACGAGCGGGACAAGCTGATACAGAGTGTAGAGGAAAATATGGCGGTTCGGGGCTTCGTAGCTGGATGCCCAGTGCGGTGTGAACTGGAAGCCAGTATCAAGAGCGATATAGCCAGTGCCGACGAAGAGGATGGCTGATACAAGGAGGGTCGCCGCCAGAGTGATCCATGCGCTGTCGTCGGTCAACTGAAAGCCAACGAGGGCATTCATCACCAGGACCCATGTTGTGGCCGTGATCGCTCCGATGTGAATCGCTGAGAATGCCTGTATAGAAGATTTCTCAGCCTCAATAATAAGAATCAAAGGGGGGAGCAGGGCAAGCTGAACATACCATCCGAACATTCTTGCTGATGGGCAACCCGCCAACTGAGAATATTTCGCAAACGCTTATCAGGATGTAGCCGAGGAGAAAGATTTGCATTTCCCTTGCGAATGACCCCGTGTTAGCCAGATGAGATCAAATAAAGGAGACGCGCCCATGTGAAATGCTTACCCTCTCCCAATAAACCTCTTCTTTCCAGAATAGCTTAGTATCAAGGTCGTGACAATGACAGCAATGCTGGCCAATATGATGGAGCCAACATTGGTCAAGTTCCTGCCACCCTCAAGGCGAATTCCCACGAGCTGGCAACCTCCCCAATCCCCTCCATCCTGGTCGTTGGTGGGCGGTGATAGGAGCTATATTGTCCCAGGTCAGTCATTGTTCTCCCCCGCTGGCTCCCACGCGAATGAAAGGAAGCAGATATACCACGTACATTGCAGACTGGCAGTGTCGAGTGTGCGCAGAATTTCTATGTTGGCCAATCAAGTCAGCAATTCAGCCCCAAACCTTTGATCCGATGTGGGCAAACCAACGTTGAAATTGCCGAACTCTGTTGACCCCATTGCAACGGCCGAGACCAACCGGGAGGGTTGACCGATTCACCGCCAAGCCGGGGCAGAATTCCGTATTCTTATACTGTCAATTGGAAGGGCCCGGGTACGGCCAACGCGTTCTCGCAACGCAGACAACGATTGGGCCGGGCTGTGGCTCTCTTCTTTGTCGGATGGCTGGGTTGGTGATGGCGTCCAGCCCCCTTCTCCAGGAACTCAATTGTCGATCCGCAAGACTGGCAACAGGACAGGAAACCGCCTGAAACAGATTATGAATGATCGTTCTACCAATTCGAATATGGAGGCGCCCCTTGACTTTGCAGCAGACGGATGGGTGGGCTGATCATGAGGTTGAATACGAGCTCCGCGGAAGACGAGGACCGACAAGCATAAGATGGCTACCTACAACACCGGGGGCGCAGTCTCTCCTCTGCGCATCGTCTTTGGGCAGATAGGGGCGAGGATCTCCAGAACTCAAATATCACACACACATACGAGGGCAGGCAAGGAGGGAGAAGAGGCGAGCGAGAAACAGGCGGCGATAAGCTGCACACATGTTCGCCCTAGCTGACGGGACGGACTGACGCACGCTGATGCGCCTTGGCACAAGCCGCCAGGCAACTAGCCAACCAGCCCTCACCGATGTGATCCAGCCGCACGGGATAGCGTGCATGAGAGACGAGCATCGACTGATCACGGTACCTGCTTAGGTGCCGTGTTCTAGCTCTGCCTGGAAGCCTCGAGCTAGGACCAGTCGCCCGTGTCGCAGAAGATAGGCCCTAGCTCGTGCAAGGAACGGTGCTTGGAGTGAGACAGGGCCCTCCCCAAAGGGCAGAGTAGGTGGAAAAAGAAAAGGTAAAACAGGGGATCTTAAGACCCTCATCGCTTGCACGATCTTCCCCTGTGAGTTCTCCTTGCTGATGGGACTCTAAGGGAGGGCGGATGGGCGATCACAGATGATGTGTGTGTGTGGGAGGGTCGGATGCAGGGCCTTCATGCATGGTGCGCTGGTCTGGTAATACGTGGTTTGGGCGAGAATCTCGTGTTTGCTGGCCATAAGCCCATCCCATGTTAGTGAGTCCGTCCAGTCTATCGTCACTACATATTCAATGCACGGGCAGGCACTGACATTCCGTTCAGGACGAGCCAGTGTCTGTCTTACCAGCAGACATCCCTGCATAGGAGCCCAAGCTCAATATTATTCAACAAGTCATATGTATATGGATCGTAGTACAAACTTGCCTCTGGAATCAACGAATCTCACATTGGGCGAACCAACTGATAGTTTCTCCCCCAAGGCGAATTAGTGACATGCCTGGCCCCTGTTCTCAGCCCAACATTAACACTAGGTAGTAGAGCAATTGATAGAATGTGGCTGACCAGTCTAGACCCGACAACTCAACGAAAATTGCTTGCGAGGTAACAATTGTATGTATTATTCAACGAGACGCTATTTACCCGAAATGCCTTCACCAATTTTCACATCCTCTATTTCGTCTTCCGTCTTGCCTTGAAGGTCTTCAGAGGATCGGCCCTTCTGCCCCCAACCTTCACTCCTCGCTTCCCCTTCTTATGGTGTCGCGACCTATCCTTCTTTCTCATCGGCACAAACCCAATTTCTTCCGAGGTAAGACCCTTCTTCCCGTCTTTGGGGAGAAGATAGTCCGGCACGTGCTTAAGATGGGGTTGAGACCTTGCCGTTCGCAACTCTCCGTCGTGCCGTACGTGATGCAGCTCTGCTGGGTTTTCCTCGAAATAACTGTACAACTGTCAGAATACTCCCCATTGAACAAGGTGGGGTAAATCACATACCGTTTGAGCTTCTCGCTCTTCAAGAGCTCTTGTCTCAGCTCTCTCGTCCTAGCCTCTCGGACCGCAACCTTGGTGACAGCTCTGAGGGCATCATTCATTCGATACCGGAACGCCTCCACCTGCTCCTTGTTGAAGTTGTAGTCATTGACTTCTTTACCAATCTTCTTTTGCTGGCGTATAATCCTTGCCAGCACCTTCTCGTCCTTCTCCGCAGTATCAACCGTGGTGGGCATATGTTTACGGTACAACGCCTCAGGAACCACAAACGATAGCGCCATGCCGTTCTTCCCAGCGCGAGCAGTTCTTCCTATTCTGTGAGTATAGGAGGAGGCTGTGGTGGGGAGGTCGAAATTTATGACGGTTCCGACGTTCTTGAAGTCAATGCCTAGTTACCCGTATTAGATTTTCATAAACAAATGCGTCCGGGCCAAAGGGGTTGAAGAACTTACCTCGCGAAACTCCGTATTCCGAGTCTCTCTTTGCGACCTTGCGCCTCTTCTTGGGGTGCTTAGACTGCTCCTCCTTCTCCTCGCCCTTCTTGTCATCCTCAGCCTCATCTTCTGGGTCGACGTTGAGCATCTCGCTCTTCTCGTCAGAGGCAATGATGATATCATACACGTTGCGGTTGAATTCCTCCACCACATGTATCCTCGAATTGACCGGCAGCTCCGAGTTTAGAATACAGCTTCGAATTCCGAACTGCTCAAAGAATAGTTTAAGCCTGTAGGATCGGTCGATGTCGGCGACGAAAATAATGCATTTCCCCTTGATCAATTGGAGCTTGAAGATAACGTATGCAAGAAGGAACTTCTCGTCTTCACCGCACCTGAAAGTAAATTTATTAGCACATTCTGTGGGGAAACATTCAAGGTCCTAGAGGGTCTTACTTGACCACGAAATGGCTGATACCCTCACCGTCTGCCTCAGGTTCCTCAAGATCCAGGAGAGTAGGGTCGCGGTAAAAGATTTCCTTGAGGGCATCAACTTCAGCGGAGAGTGTAGCGCTCATCATGATCGTCTGGACGCCCTTGGGTACCAGTTTTGCAAGGTTCTTCATGTCCTCATCATAACCGTAAGAGAGCATGAGATCTGCCTCGTCCAACACCAGACAAATAAGATTATCCAGCGACAATGCGGATGAGTTGACATTGTGCCAGGCTCTCGCAGGTGTAGAAATAACGATATCCGGGGAGTTGGACAGGAGACTTCTCTGAACGGCGTCGGTGAGCTTGTCGGTAAGTTTCACTGCTTGGATATCCTTGGCGCAGAAGGAAGCGAATTGTTCGATGGCCTTGAATATCTGGTCGGCAAGTTCACGTGTCGGGACAAGGACAAGCGCCGAAGTTGATGCCGTTGTTGTAGTCTAGAGGCTAAGTCAGTTATTTGTTGCGCGAGGCTGGTTGGCGAGCGACCTGTACCTGTTTTTTCTTCAGGATGGAGGCGAGAAGAGGCAGCACGTAGGCCGCGGTCTTTCCAGATCCCGTCTTGGCCTTGCACAGGACATCTTGGCCGGAGAGTGCTAATGGAATGGCTTTGCGTTGCACGAGCGTGGGCTTCTCAAATTTCTGCTTCGCGATGGCTTGGAGCAATCGAGGATCGAGGCCTAGGTCAGTAAAGGAAAACTCTGCCTCGGGCTTCTCGGTTGCTGGCTTCTGCTCCGAGTCGGCCCCAGAGGACGGCCTGTCGTTCTTATCGAGCTTGCGCTTCATTGTGGCTGCGGAAAATCAGGTATCTGGATATTGCTGGCGTTACGATTGATCTACTTTTCTCGAAGTTTGCAGAGATCAATGGATATCGATACAGATAAAAAAAAAATCGGGCGATAAGGAGCTACCCCACTTATCGGTCCAAACACTCTTATAGGTAGTCTGCATCAGCTCTAAGTTGGCTAATTTAGTTTACATGTTGCCCTAAGGGTTATTGAGTATTCGATTCGTCAGAGTTATGGCATTGGCTACTATGCAATCGAATACCGGTCCGGTTTGTTCTCTCATCTATTTCGCCGTTGAGCGAGACTTGTAACAGGGGTTGGGGTGCACTATCTTAATGGATGGTCTGTACTACCCTATAGCGTCACCCCTTCCTTCATGTCCACAACGGCATATTTGTTTTTCGGTTGTTTCTCTCTCGACTGTTGTTCGGGTCGGTCTTTTGTTGACTAGGGTCTGTTTTATTTCTCATGTTTAGTCGGTGGATAGTTTGAGAAAGTAGGTCTGTTTTGCATTGGCTGCACTGGTAGTATATGAGCAGCTCTTGGGAGGATCATGCCTACCCTCTCCGAGAACACGCAACAATGACACGTCGGCGGCAGCAGATGAATAGACAGCGCACGTTAAATATCCATGACCAGCACCGGAAATTTTGCATATCCTGCTCACTACACAATGTTATCCGTCGTCGTCGGTGGGCTTCCGGAGACCTATATCACGGCGCCGGCTTGAGACTCCACCACGCCGAATTCCGGCGCGGGGGACGATGAACCACGATAACTAGTTGCAAAACCGTTTTGATACCTCTAGCATCGGTAATTTATAAGACCGAAGTCCTAGAAGAGAGCAAATCTGGCGCTACGTTCTTACATTTTTTTTTTTCAATGGAACCCTACCGTCCTTCCCAAGATGTTGCATAGATCTGCCCCACGAACCCCAGCGCTGACCGTTAAGACGTCATCAGGAGCATGGCCGTAGCATACATAGACCATGCGCCGTATCAAACGGTCGGTGATGGCTAAAGCACCTAGACTCAAATCAAGTTTTCATAGTCGGATTGATGACCAGCAGCTCACACTAAACACAATAGATTGGCCATCATGCCCCGATGAGATATGTTGCTCCCGAACCATGGAGAAGCGATGAGTCGGGGCACCTGCTGGTTGACGTCGTTGCTCCACTTAAACACTCGCCAAGGAACCCTCGCAAGGGTTTGTCGCACATGAAGACACATTGTTCAGTTGTAGGTAGTACTTCCTCCCACATCAGGTTCGTTCAGAAGTAGGAGCGTGGGATGATGTGGACCGACGTGTGCGGCGCTAGGTGGTTTGTTGCTGAGAAGGACTCGCTGATCTTTCATGTACACGGCATAGCATCTACTCATACTGGGCCTGCAAGGGATTCACCGGACCCAAAGAGAAGCGGAGGAATCACGTCCCAGAGATAGCGAGGTACCAGGTACCTGGTATCTAGTCCCGCCACAAGTTGTACTAAAGTTCTCCCCTGTGTCTCTGGCGGCGGTACCCAGATCATGTCTGATGCTAATAAGGCCTTGAGCATAGTCCTTTTCGCGACAGGCGTTCGGGTTGCTTTGGATGTCCGCTACATCCAGAGCAAGGCTGGCGCGGCTGCAATAGAGGGTAGCGCATTCAGCTGACAGCGCCACGGCGCTGTACATCTGGACGGGCAGACTGGTGGAGTGGGTGCTAATTTGAGCAGCAGCAGCAGGGCTGGAAAAACCAAGATCCCGTCTCCTGAGTCCTGCTTGCTGTCAGAGGGCCTCTAATCAACCATCATAATAATATGGATGCGTGTCCTGAAAGCCTATCCCATCTCAGCCCGTCATCTTTCAGGTCCCAGGACAGTGATCTCGTGCTTCCCCCATCCCACTCGACCTCATCACGTTCGCCTACTACCTCCGAGGACCGCCTGTCTTTCTCCTGCTTCCCCATTCCAACCCCAGGCTCTGAGCCAGACCAGCCCAAACCCCAGTCGGTCTCCTGACCCTTCCGCGGCTTCTCCAGCCTAGGCACTGCAGCTTCTCCGCCTAGAGCATCATCGTGCGTCTTGGCCCACTCGTCCGGGGCGCCTTTCGCGCAGAAAACTCGTGGCAGCTCGCTAGTCATCTGCCTCTCGCAGTTGGGGAAGTGCCATCTCACTCTGCCGTCGGCGTGACATTCGTTGCCTTCGTGACAGTTCCCCACGGGTGTCTCTCATGCCCAGCTGGACTTGCCTCTGGGCACTGGTTCTGACCGTACAGGGGCGCAAGTACCGGGTACATTGCTAAGCGGCCAATTGACCATACCGCTCTATCTTATCTGCCGCCCGTGCATGCACCACATGCGAGCCAACTCCTAGGCATTGGGGGCAGTGAAGCCAATCAAGACAGGCAAAGCCGACTGCATCATCCTAAGCCGCTGAGGTCTCACAAATGGGAGGCTACTCGGACCCGGCCACACCTATCTGTACCTAACTGATTCACGCTGTGTGTCCTGTCACCCGACCCATAATTGTCTCCGCAGACAGCCCCGAACGACTTCGTTCCGTTGCTCTTTCCCACCTCTTTCGTTATCGGCACGTACCCAGGTACAATCGGTCTTGCCCTCTTTCTTCCTCCCTTCCTTCCCTTTCTTTTCCTTCTCTTTCCTCAATTGGTCACAGGTGGGCGCTGCTGCTTTCCAGCCCCAAAACCACCCAACATTCCTTCGTCAACGTCATCCCGTCTTCCCTCCAACATTCCCCTCCGGACCCTACGACCCGGCCGTGACAACGACTCGGCTTCGGCATCTCTGCTGTCTCGTCCAGGACGCCGCGACTACCGCCCCGGCGGTTCAAATTCCCATCATCCTGAGCGTTCTTCCTCCTCCTCAGAGTCGGAATCGTCGTGGACCGATACGGGCGATATTGGCGAGCACAAAGACGAGAGCGACCCTCTGCGACTGCAACTGGGCCAAGCTGTCGAGGACGAGTTGTTAGCCGGTGTCCAGCGACGACAACGTCGGCAGAAAAGAGTTCGAATCCAAAACCCATCACCAGACCGACGTCGTCGATCTCCTTCACCTTATGGTCTTATTGAGAAGGCCTCGATCCAGGTCCCTGTGGTAGACATTCCGCCTCCATCTAGAACCTCCCGCTGCATCGGATTCATCATGTCGGGAAGTTTGGGCGCGGCCCATGGCCTGACGGGCAAGGCCCTTCTGTATGACACCCCCCGAATGATAGCCTTGTGAATCTGATGTGAACTAACATTTTGCAGGTATTTTACAAGTATTTTCGTGTCATTAGGCGTGTTCTTGTTCGGTTATGATCAAGGCGTGATGTCTGGTGTTATTGTGTACGTCTCTTATCAGCAAGGTTCAGCATGCTGCGAGATGGGAAACTAATTTGACTGTTGTAGTGGCCCGTACTTTATTGATTACTTTAATCAACCTTCGATGGCAACTGTAGGAACTATGGTCGCTATTCTAGAGATTGGTGCTTTCATCTCCTCTCTGGCCGTTGGCCGAATTGGAGACATCATCGGCAGACGGAAGACTATCTTTTACGGCTCATGCATTTTCCTGGTTGGTGGTGCACTGCAGACGTTTACTCCGAATATGCCTATTATGATGCTGGGCCGTCTCGTGGCTGGTTTCGGCGTCGGTGCCCTTTCGACAATCGTCCCTGTGTACCAATCCGAAATTTCCCCTCCACACAATCGAGGCAAGCTGGCATGTATTGAATTCTCCGGGAACATTATAGGCTATGCTTCTTCAGTTTGGGTGGATTATGGATGCGGGTTTATCAAAAGCGATCTCTCGTGGCGCATTCCTCTTCTGATGCAATGCGTTATGGGAGGGCTTCTCGCTCTCGGTAGTTTGATCATTGTGGAATCTCCCAGGTATGTACGACTTGTTCCGACTGGAAATAAATCATACTAATGCACTTAGATGGCTCCTCGACAACGACCATGACGAAGAGGGCATGGTGGTCATCGCAAACCTCTATGGCGGAGGTGATATCCATAACAACAAGGCCCGCGAAGAGTACCGTGACATCAAGATGAATGTACTGCTTCAGCGCCAAGAGGGCGAGCGAACCTATACCGAAATGTTCCGAAAGTACAGAACGAGAGTTTTTATTGCAATGTCTGCCCAGGCCCTCGCTCAACTCAACGGTATCAATGTTATTTCCTACTACGCACCGTATGTCTTTGCACAGGCTGGGTGGAAAGGACATGATGCTATCTTGATGACTGGCTTGAACTCAATCACGTACTTCCTGTCAACAATCCCACCCTGGTATATCGTTGATAAATGGGGCCGTCGCATCATTTTACTGACAGGTGCTATCGCTATGGCTGTCTCGCTCTCGATGATATCATACTTCATCTTCCTGGATATTCCATGGACTCCCAACCTGGTTGTTTTGTTCGTCATGATTTACAATGCCGCATTTGGTTACTCATGGGGACCTATTCCCTGGTTATACCCCCCAGAGATTCTGCCTCTCAGCATTCGTTCCAAGGGCGCGAGCTTGTCCACTGCCACCAACTGGGCGTGCAACTGGCTCGTGGGTCAGATGACGCCAATTCTGAAAGACTGGATCCAATGGAGACTTTATCTCATTCACGCATTTTTCTGCGTTCTCAGTTTTGTGATCGGTAGGATACCCCACATACCCTTGACGCTCAGATCTTCGGGATGTGCTAACATGATGTTTCAGTCTACTTCATTTACCCAGAGACCTGTGGTGTTCGCCTGGAAGACATGAACTCTCTTTTTGGAGATGCCACCACTATAGGTACACCATCTATCCATGGAACTGAGACTGGCTCTCTGATGCGACCGGGCTCCCCAATCGGATCTGCCCGTGGGATAGGCTCATCTGCGATTCCTGGACTCCAATTAGACCCCGAAATGGATATCGACGCCAAATCCCAGGGCCCCAATGGCGAAGGCGACGATAGAACTGTTACTGGCTGGCTGTCGCGCGTTGTTAACCGAGGCCGAGCCGGCAGC